CAAATCTATCATTTTGCAGAATTTCAAGCATCACTGCTAAAAAAAACAGCTTCAAAGTGATAAAAGAGTAAAAATGTCACACCAAGGGAGAGCTATCTATCTGTGCCTCACAGTTCTTTAATGTTATGCCTCTGACAGCTTAACAACAGCTAAACAGCTTAAGTCTCAGCAAGAGACCTCCAAGCTGTTTGAGTATGAAAAGTATGACATGTTAATTAGAGAAACTTCCCATTTGCTACAAACAGCCCTCTGTTTGCGACCAGCCATAAGGAGCACTGCTTCTGTAGGGAGGTGCACGACACCAGCAACAGCTGCGTGGGTCTGAGTCCTGCTCTGCATACGGGAACCCCTGATGCCCCTGTGGTCAGCGCAGCTAGTGTTAACTGGGCCTGTCCCCAGAGAAAGCACCTGGCCTCCTGCTTAACTACAGTTAAGCAAATTAAAAACATACTTGCTTCAAAAGGACACCTTATAAGGAAACAAAGTTTAACTATTTCCAAAGCATTACGAGTTTTACTATGAAGGAATCCTTCCTAAAATATACGTGTGGGGTGTTGGCCAGACACCCATTCCCATTTTTGCGGGCCCCCAGCACCCACTGGGCTGGCTAGGCCACCATGCTCCCAGCCTCTCCCTTCTATAGAGCCTAAAGAAGGGACGCTCACTATGCAACATTAACTCTCTGAGCAGCTTTGGAGACTGTGGCCTCCTGCTTAACTACAGTTAAGCAAATTAAAAACATACTTGCTTCAAAAGGACACCTTATAAGGAAACAAAGTTTAACTATTTCCAAAGCATTACGAGTTTTACTATGAAGGAATCCTTCCTAAAATATACGTGTGGGGTGTTGGCCAGACACCCATTCCCATTTTTGCCATTGCTGATGGCTACGTAATGTGCTTGCTTTCAGAGTCCAAGAAGATCACTAACATGAGGAAGGAGGAAACAACAGTAAATAGGCCTAGAAATGAAGTGAGGGTGGCTGATATGCATGCAGACCAAAAACTAAACAGCATAAGGTGAAAATAAGAGGGGATTTCCCAAAGTAATACACAGTGAGGGATAACCAGGGGACACACACAAAGAACTAAGAACTGTCATGACAGCCTGCAAAGAAACCAAGACAACAACAACACAAAACCATCAGAAATAGAAGCTATTAGGCAGTCTTACAAGCTATAGTCTTGCTATCTGCCTCAAATAAGTAATAAAACCATCCTAACTTTGAAACTCATGTCAAGGCACCGAGAGGCACAAAGAGCAGACAGAAGAAGAATCATATCATTTCCCCGAACTCAACAATTGTGCCTAATTTCACTGCATTAAATTACAGGCTCTCCCCAGATGATTAATGAGAAACAAATAACCCCACCAAGCCATCTCTGTGAGTGAAGGGACCATAGGAGGAGGTTGGCATTCTGAGAATCACGTGGGACCATGGCGTTTAGTCATCAATTAGCTGCCGTCTCTCAATTCCTTGGGCACCGACTTCATGCAAAAAACAATTATCCTTTCTCTGCTCTACTTCAACTGAGTAAAAAAAAAAGCACCAGTAGTAGAACAGCCTCTTTCAAAACACAGCCTGTGTCCATGCCCTGCACTGAAGACAGAGCACATTTAGCAGCCAATATTGGGACACAACTCTGGATTTCCAAGCTAGGCTTCAAAGCTAAACAGATGGGTTTAGCTCTTTGGAAGAAAAGTACTATTATGGTTGAAAAAAAGAATGGGGAATGTATTTAGCAAATGATGCTCCCCCATCACCTGAAGGGCAATTCTGCAGATGCTCTCTCTGTGCAGTGCTCCATTCTCGCAAAAGCGAACATCATTCGTGAACAAGAACTAACCTGAGAGTCCATCTGAAACAATATAACTGATGTATCTGCAATCTCCGCATCACATGAGGTGTCCCTTGCGGAGATTTAACTGTTGTGGAAAGGAAGGAAGATCACTATGGAGCTATTAGCGCCACCTGAAAGACGGTTTGCCCCATATTATATGATGAGGATAGGCTTCACAGTTCCTTCATCTTAATTACAGCAGCCTCCAAACCAACTATTTCTGTCCCCTACCTTCTCCGTCTCTTTGAAAGTCTACATCATAAGCTGACTCTAGAAGGTAGCCACTAAAACCAGGTAGGCACAGCAGGTGGGCAAAAACTATTTCCATTCTCAAGGTATTTCTGGATACCTCAAACTTGTTTTTTGTTGCAAAAAGTAGAATGAAAAGGTACATTTTTAAGCTCCCTGAAGAACAAAACTGCAGCATTTCAATTGATTACTTGCACAGATCTTTGCTTTACCAATGACAAAAGCTAAAAATGAATCATTTTAATATAACTCATTCATTTTTATACTATCTAAAGGTTTCATTTTGATGTCAGAACATCATGAGAAACAGAGTTCAAATATATTATACATTAATATTTTTAGTTAACATAAAAATCAAAATGAAATTAGTAGAAGGAAAAGTTTTTCTTTTACCTCATCAAGGCAGACTATTTGGATGCTATCAAGCAGCTGTTAATGAATCTTTTCAACTTTTTCCAGAAGTAGCATCATCCATTTCCCCAAGGAAAATGGTTCAATTGAAAGCAAAGTCAATTATATCCCTTCATAATATTCTAAACTTCATCTCCTGTAGGCAGCCAGAGGAAGAAAAATCTTTCTGACATACAAAAATTTGGAAGGCTTCCTTCAAGATCTAAGGGCAGAGAATAGCAAGGCCATATCGCCAAGATACCAACTCTACCCCTACTGTGCAAGGCAGGATACCGGACCCCCCCATTCAATCTACAGCAGGAGGCAAGCCTGCAAGCCAAAGGCTCCTATGCCCTACAGTTGGTGGGGAGAGTAGAATGAGCAGCTTCTTGCACTTGCGCTCCAGGGAAGAACCTCGCTCTTGCATTGGAGTGGTCAGAGTTACATCTGAACACATCACTGCACAACCAGTGAAATGTCAGAGCTCTCTGCCAGGTGGGTGTTGGGCCATTCTGTCACTGGAGACTGGTCAGAGGGGTTGAAGAGGATTCTCTCAAGAAGTGAGGCAGCAAAAGGGGACGTATCTGGTGTCCTCCAGAGTTTTCTGTTTCAGCCTCTTGCACAAAAGAGCTGTCCATAACCTGCCCTATGGCATGCAGGCTGCCCCCTCTCTCAACCCAGTTTATAATAACGTCCTCATTACACACGTTTCGGCAACTGGTCAAACGTCAAAAAGAAAATAAATGCATGAGAAGTGACCGAGAGATTTTTAAGAGTGGGCAGGGTCATTAACAATCATCCCATCTGATCTTTTACTCAGCATAGACCAGAGAGCTTCAGTGGGTAAAAGCATCTCTAAGGAAAAGAACAATATTGAACAATGAAATATAGGTACGACTCACGCACCAGAACTTATCTTAGGTTTTATAGAGAATTTTTAAGCCTGACATTTCTGCTCCATCTTTCTTGTCTGTCCTGATCAAATAACCGCCAGCTTTTCCTGGACAACAGCATCTGGTGTTTTCCTGGACACAGCAAGTAGAAGTCATTCTGACCAGAACCTCCCTGCACTAGGGTAATTCTAGTCACTGGCCAGAGCGGAAAAAGAGCTCCCATTCTCCTACCCCTCACCCATGTTCACGCAAAGTAAAGAACCAGTACTAGACTTCTGAAGGACTAAAGCACTAAAGACACTGGAATGTCAGGAGAGCAAATAAAGGCAATCACTCCAGTATAGTTAGATGAGACAGAGTCTCCAACAATAAAGCGATACTTCTTTTCAGCCTGAGCACAGCTACTATAGCTTTAACAGTTTTAGGTTCAAAGCTAAAAAGTCTATTTGTCTGGAGCCCACAATTCTCTCACTGGAGGGAGCAAATGATAAATGTACATTGTTATTTTGGCTTGCCTGCTAGAACCTGAAGCAGGGGCCACTAGGTGCTGCTACTTGTTAATTGTTGAGCATTGCTACGCAAATGCATGTTACTGAAGGGTCAGAAACCAAGAAATTATCACTGCATGCGCAAATAGACTTTTCTATTCCTTCATCTACAAAGGGTAAGAAACAACACTTGCTGAAGTAACGACTCCCAGCTGATACTGTCCATCAGAAGAGGTGCACCTTGCCCCCCATGGAGCTGTGGATTACTTGTTTACATTGCTGCATCTTTCCACTAGGATGATGATGAAGAGAGTCCTCAAACCTGGCATGTTTTGGAATTCCTTACCAAATCACAGTGAGATTGTCACAAGCAGCACAAGAGTGTTACTTACCACAACAAAAGAATCAAACCTGTGAAGACTACGTGCTCACCAGAGAAATAATCAACCACTGGAACATCTCCCTTATGAAAATCCAGAATCATTTCCCAGCAAAGACATCACTTAACCCCTGTCCCAAAAATAGTCAGTTCTGTTGTATGTCCACTGGTAAGCAAAAACTTCTTCTTTGGGGCTAGAAGGTGTCCTTTGCTCTCCAGCCTGCATGCTCCATCACTTGCACTGCTGTCTAACTTACTGGGGGGTAACTTCTGATTCCTCTCTTGTAAAAGCGACCCTGCAGGTAGGACCAGACACATAAACAGGATGCATTTACCATAAAGCCTCTTCTATTTATCCACAGAAACATAAAACAAAAACACATTTTTAGTAGGGATGTTTGAATCTAGGTAACTTAACTCAGTACCATGAGCACCACCTTCTAGAGCAGTCAGTCTCTTCAAAGACTGAAAAGGAGCCTTAGAAACTAGCTGGAAAAATGAAATACCTACAACTAATTGTTATGAATAATTCCTACCTTTCCATTTCCCCAGAAGTGCTAAACACTCGCTGTCTCAGCTGCTCAGTGCTTTAAAAAAAAAAAAAAAAGGCCATTAGAATCTGGTCACCCAAATTAAATACTGCTTTTCTAAGTAGGAACTCTTTTAACCCGTCTGTGAAACTCCCAAAGCAGCAATTTGTTGCTAAGATTGTAGGGTTTCGGTAGCCTTCATGACAGGGAACAGGATTCAGAACTGCACCTGCTTTTTGGCTCAACCTTGGAGCCATCTCTCTAGTGATAGTCTCAGCATTTAAGGTGCAAAGGGGTCAGTAAATAATTTGAATGCTTAGGAAAAAAGCTCTTGGCTCTTTTTTTTTTTTTTCCTGAAAGGATGGAGTGGAATTGTCCTGGAATATCTTTTCTCAGTGCTACATCCATTTAAGACTTCTCATTACTGATTTTTCTTCCTTGCTTGATTTTTGCTCAAAGTTCTTTTTATGAAAATAGGATGTCAGAAAATCTAACACAGTGCTATATCATATGCTTAGTGTCTATTTCCAGCAGCAGGTGAGAATCTCAAGATTCAATTCTCGTCTGCGCCAAGGCCGGTTTACACCAATTTGCTCTGTACAAAAACATGGAAGAAAGGCAACAAAATCTGGGGTAGATAGGCATATATAGGTCACTGTGCACAGTTCCTGCTTTATGTCCATATGAAAAGGGACTACATAAGCTATGACCGTTTTCATCCCTCCATAGTAAGAATGAAAACAGAAAAGCATTGTGTAAAGTCAACATCACCAAACCAAAACGTTCTACGCACCTAGTAAGACTCTCAAAAATAACTTGTCAGCTTCTTTCTATAGCTCTATTTTCTTTTACTCTTTTAGCGTTCATGCTTTACATCTCTTTCCATCAAACGTGTGCCTTAGGAACTTTCTTAAAATAAAACAAAACAAAACAACAACAATACAATTTTCCTGTTACCACCAGGCTCCAGGATATGCTGGTTTAAGGCACAGCACTTGATATTGCAAAACTCATATCATCAGTGCCAGACTTGATAAATTTACAATTCTGTCCTTCCTGGAACAAATTTGGTTCTTGAAATCTTTGCATCACTCACCACAGTCCTACTCCCTGCTCTATTCACTAGTGAGTCTGTGCCTTGAGGCAATGTAATGATGGTTTCTCTCTGATGTCTAATGGCCAACCTGAGGGCTGTATAGCCAGGGATTTTTCTCCCCCAAACAGAATGAAATGCAAGCATAACATCTAAAGAGTATAAGCAATGCAAACTCAAAGAGGCAGTCACTGCTCAAATCAGACTGTCTCAGCTGTTGTTAGTAATGTTAGAAAAGTAATGTGTGCATGTAATTTTTAGCCTGCTGGGATCCTTCCAGCTTGGAAGACATAAATTTTTAGAATTAACAACTTTATTGACTCAGTTCCTTTTTCTTCAGGATTGCCCATATTGTATGTGGTAGCAGCAGTGGTTGCAGATTGTCTGGCTTTGTTTGATCTCCAGACCCAAACTAGCCAGGAGAAGAGGCTCTGCAGGTGGGATACAGCAGAGAGCAAACAGGAGAAGCAGGTGCACATTCAAGGGAAAAGAACAAGTCTAGAGGGTGATGCAAGTGAGGGAGCAGAGAGCTTTGCAAGCCCAGCAGAAACAGCTGGAATTCCTCTCTCCTTCAGCTTTAAACCTGGCCAAAACCCTGATGACTGTAATGACCAATTTAGTTTAAAAGATACGTGCAAGTCCCAATGGCCAGTGAATGTAGTAAGCAGGTGTTCAGGCTGCATTTATCCACATGCCTGCGTTTAGTTTAAGGGGCCTACTTCAGCCTCCAGATTTCAGCGCTTGTTCTGAATACGTGTTCCTTTCAGCCTTACATAAGCACGCGCACACACACAAGGACAAAAAAGAGGCAGAATGCCAGCTCACCAGTGGTTTTTCCATACCCTTTGGGTGCCAAAAAACTTGGCTTCCCAAGGGCAAGAAGCCATGTGAAGATTTTCTTCAAATTACCACAGATGGTTCTACTTGACAACTTGAACTGATAGAGCTCTAACAGACCATACAATTACCTCTCCATGCTGGAGTCCTGCAGCGGATACGGAGAACATTTCACTGCATAAACTGTTCTCCATGTCTTGTGCCTTGACTTGGAATGCATGCCTAAAGCCTCCACTGGCCCCATTAGCCCAGTCCTCTTCAAAAAACCTCCTTATTTAAGACAGTTAAGCTGCCCAGGTGCTGATCTGTCTGTGAAGTCATGACAGAACGCAGCCTCGCTGGCTGCCTCCCGCTCAAGCGGTATCAGAGAAGAATCAAGGAGCTCTTCCTGCTTCGGATTTGCATAGGGAGGTGAGGAGTTACCTGAGATGAGCCACCTTTCTCAGTGCCAAGAGGTGGATCCTCAGAGTTACTTTCAGTCATACGTGAGGGAGCTGCATTACCACATTCCAGGCACCCAGGCCAGCTACTGAACAGGGGTTGGCCACACTGGATGTGGCTATCTGGCTATGTTTCCATAAAGCTGCCCTTCCTTCTCATACCTAGCAGCAGGTGGGCAAATACATAAAGAATACAAGGTGAAAAATGGTGCAATGCAGCAATCCTTTTGCAATTGCACTGTGCTGAAGAAGGGAGTCCTCACCTGAGCTGTCAGTATACTCCGGGTGAAAGTGAAGCAGTTTGACACTAGAAAGGAAGGCAGGCTTTACGCAGAGAGAAATCCGTAAGACTCCTGTGTGGCATAGCCCTTGTTGAGCTGGATGAGAAGGCAGTGTGGCAAACACTCCAGGAGGTCAAAGAACAGAGAAGGCCCCAGTTAAGAGCATTTGGGGACCATCAGTGCATGAACCTGAGAAAATATTTAAGCAGAAATATAACAAGCAAGGAGAGCCAGGATGGTTACCACAGGGATAAAGCATGTTATTGAGCGCATGCAAGGGGCATCTGAGAAGACAAGAGAATTCTGAAGAGCTGGCCTGGGCAGTTTAGCCAGCATCAAATCAGCACTGGCCTCCAGGACAAGTTGCCCACGTAGTTTCCACTGGACACAACGCTCGACTCCTTGAAAACCACAAAGTGTTCTCTTTTTCTGTTTCAAAGATGCTGCTGTACTTCAGATGTGGCTGCATTTCAGGTGCGTTTTAGTTCCAAATAGCAGTATGGCTTTTTGCAGGATATTCCTTTTGCTGCTAGTTCTAACAGAACCTGCTGCAACAGTCTTAGAGATCCTGTTGAGAATCTTGCTTTAGAAGGGGAGAACAGTCCTTTGCTTGAAGAACAGGGCTGGGACACAGGAGACCTGAACCCGTCCTGGCTACATCTCAGTCTCGACACGCACATGCTTTTAATTGTTTTATGCCTTGACTCCCCAACTGCAAAAAGTACCCTATAATGACACTTTCCTGGGCCCTGTGCATTTAGGTCATGAACCATTTAGCACAGGGACTGTTTTCATTCTACCTAGGCAAGTCCATGTCAAATACGATGTGGCACTATTACCTTTAGCTCTACTGCAGTGCAGATAATTACTATTTCTGAATGGTTAATTGTCATTGAATCTTGACCTAGGATTTTTAGCTGCTTATTAGATCTGAAGAAATTCTTGGAGGAAAGCTGATCCAGTAGAGGTACAAGCTACTACTTTGTTGCATTTGACACAAGGTGCTCTGGCAACTGCCCCTCCGCTGCCTGCTGTTCTGACAACAACAGCAAAGAAACTGGACCTACGATTTGGATGTGGCAAGTTCTTTTCTGCGTGCTCTGAAATTCAGATTTGTGGAGAAAACTTAAGAATTGTTAACTTACACCCACTATTTGGATTTTACCAACAGGCAGCTACTGGAAACTTGCTTCCACTGAAAGCAAGAGAACAGTATAGCGAGTGAAGCAAAAGCATAAAGGGGACTCAGCATCTTAGACATAGGAAAAGCTGATAAGTGGAGTGGTTGCATCTCTGGAGCTCTTGGGCCCCTGTCCACATTTCCAATTAGTGATCTCAGGTTTTGTTATTTTTTTCAGAGCCATCCATTCTCCTTGATGTCATGGCTCTACTTTGCAGTGTTTTATTTTACCTCTCTCTTCTGCACTTTGATTTCCTGTCTGGTTTCCCATTTCTGTGAACAGACTAGGTGCTGGTGCCTTGCAGACATAGCATTCTAAGTTCTGGTCTCCTTTACAGCTGTACCCCTACTACAGCCCTCTCTCTTACTCTGTAGTTTTTGGACCCTCTCCTGCACAAGAAAAGAAGGGAGAGATATGCTTAAAGCAGAGATTGGATCCCTTGCTCCCTGCATCAGCAGTTCTACAAAAGCAATACAGTGTGCAAAGCAAAATCAACTGCTTTTTCTGATCAGTGTAGCGGTGCTGTGGAACCTGCAGGTGCAGTCAGCTGCTTGTAGTTCACAGGCCTTGGATTTCTCCAAGTGGTGGATAACCTAGGTTTTTGGTGTTCTGTCTGTGATGCAGCCAGAGGCTGAGGAAAGCACCACCCAAGACAGCAAAGCCAGTAAGGGATCCCAGCAGAATGGGTACCAGCATAGCAGAATCAGGACCTGGAAAGAAAGAAAGTAATCAAGCCATGAACAACATTAAGAGAGGTAGGCTGAGGAAAGAGAACGTAAAACCCCATTCTTCTTTATACCGTGCCAAGCAGGTATGGCTAAGTTTCCTTCCATAGAGTAATCTGAATGTATAGCGCCTTTTCAAACACATTACCCTTTTTGCCATAAAAGCCCAGCAGTAAATATCAGATACATAAATTCATCAGAGACACAAGAAGCTAAGTGATTCTCAGGGATGGTGCCAGTGGATTTAATCAGTCTGTCATGCTCATGATATGCCAAATTGAATTTTTCTCATTTCTAATAGCTGGTCAGCATCCAATTAACACAAACCAGCTGCTTTATTTCACCTATGGACAGAAAGAAAAAAGAAAACGCTCCTGACTAATGACCAGCCTCAACTCCTCATTCTGCTTCTAGAGTTCATAAACTGGAGTGAGATTTTTTTTCTCCAGTTACCTGAGGATGGGCTTACCTTGCTGTACCAGATGACTACCTCTTTATCTTGGGCACTTGTCCCTAAGCTCACTACAAAAAATGACAGCATTGCTCTTTGTTTCTAAAAGCTCCAAAGGTAGCAGAAAAGAGAAATATCTAAAAGGAGGCCCCTATATTCTCTCTCACTCCTCCCATCCCATCTCTCCTAGAACCCTGATAACTGTGCTAACTCTTTTCTTCAAGTATCTCTCACAATTCGTTTTAATGGCACTCCTCATCCTCAGTCAATGTATTTCACCATCATACTGCAGAAATGCAGGAAAATCCTTTTCAGCTAGAGGATACTCTGCTTTGTTTTCCTTCCTTCTCCTCCTTCCAAAGCTTGAGTTCCTCAGGGAAGGAACTTAGCTGCATCTCCTGTCTGACAGTCTATCAAATCTGATACTGATTAACCTGCCTCTCTGAGACTTAGGAAGGCCTATGCTGCAAACATGAGGAGCCGTTTGGATAAAGCGTAGCCATATCAGACAGTTGTCAAGAAAGCTCTTAAAAGTGTACTGTTTTCCTTACAGATGGAAAAGTTGTATACTGAATAGAGACTGCAGCTTGAGAGGGTCAGAGACGTGAAAATATGAGACACCCACCTTCCACAGGTTTATTTAGAAACCTGTTCTTCATTCTCAAAACTGGACCAAATGAGATCAGGTTGTGCAGGTCTCCATAGCTGTTCCTATCACTTGGTGGGGGAAGCATCTCCACACTTTCAAAGCAGTCCTAGGAAAGACAGGTGAAAAAAATTAAACATGTACTGGCCGTGCCTGAACAGGATCTCCTGCACTGGTGGCTGCGTGCAGCCCACAGCAACCACAGTGTCAGCTGGAGCAGATCTCCTCTGATTCAGTCCTTGCCCAGCTCTGCTGTCATTCCAAAAGGTGGGTTACCTAATGCCTGGACCAGCCCATACGTGCATCTCTATTCCCCAATTACTTTTCCTTAGGGATAAGTACCTATCGCTACCATTTTATATCACTAAAATGTCATATGCTCATCTTCCAGACTTTTAGTGAAGGGATTGACCAGATACCAGGATGATCCTATCTGGGGACTTTGTTACAGGTTGAGTTCTTCCCAAAAGTGTCTGACCGCAGTTTTTTTTAGGCCTATATTGTGTCTGCACTCTAGGAAGTACCATTAGAGCAGCCAAGACATATAGAAGATGCAGACCTTCATCTTTCATAAGCCTCTCCCCATCCCCTCTGATTTCTCTAATTTCTGCCGAAGCTCCTTAAAAGCAGCCTGAGCCTCAGTGAATGATTTTTCAGAACCTTTCTGGCTGTACTGGGGAGCCACTCAACCTTTTGTGAATATATCCGCTCCACCACTGTCAAACACTCTTTACTCCTGTACCATTTCAATCCCCAGCATTGCTCATGGCTAAGCAATCAGATACTGTGCCAAGTGTTTCACAGGAACACATATCAGCTACCTTATCCCTGAGACCTCCAAGCTTGTAGAAGCCTGAAAATCCCATCTCCCAGACCCCAATTTAGAGACAGATTTGAGCCCTTTTGTGTAATTCTACAATGCAAAAGTTGCTACTTGTTGTTTGTTAGTGTGCTTCTTCAGCCGATTACACCATTCAGCAGTAAATAGTTTGTGATAGCATGGTGAAAGTAGGGTACTGCGAGCTCTATAAGCTTAACTGAGTAGAAATTCAGCTAGGGCTTCAGGAGACACAGAGCACGCAGGAGATAAAGGAAGGAGTATGTAAACTGGATGAAAGCAGAACTCCTCAACATACTATCACAGATCTTTGCCGAATCAATTGTACTTGGTAGAAGCACCAAATCCTTCTGCAAAACTCCTTACTGATGTCTTTTCTTCCCCCTTGTTTCTACCTCACTTCCTCTTGTCACAAGACTAGTGGGAGAGGACTCTTCTTACGTACCTGTTCACACCCTGTTTTGCCATGCAGACAGACATTAAGCTCACAGTGCAGATAGGCCACTGAGTGATTCAGCATCTGGAACAGCTGGATGGTGAAGCTAGCAGCTCTGGACTGGCTGCTCTGCAGTAACTGGATGTATCTGCATTCAGATGGCAACCTGGCCAGGACAAATGGAAAACAATTTCAACTTCCAGCACTCCTCTGACCCAAGTCAGGAAAGGGAGCCTGCTGGCACAGTTATACACAAGTTCTAAGCCAAGCATCTGTGTCTACAGAGTCAGTCAAACAAAAATCCACGAAATTGCAACATCTCAGCCTGGGCATGTCTCTGACGTGGAGGCCGCAGTCCCAGAGCAGCAGAATTGTTTAGAGGAAGTTGATTTTGCTAAAGCCATTAAAGGGCTGCTGTAGTGTGATAATCATTCCCCGTCCTAGACAGACTCAGAAGCACTGCTTATCAGTAAACCCTTTTATGGATGATAATATCATCTAGCATTTCTAACGTACATATCATGCCCGAAGGGTTTTACAAACATTAACTAATTAATCCTCAAATATCCCTATGCCCAACCCAGACAGTTTAGGTAATAACATCCTTGAAATACTGATGTGGAAATGGATTGCAGGAAGGAGTGCTGTACCCAAGATCCTGCAGATGGCCTGAGAAGTGCCACTGCTCATTTACAAAAATCAAAAGCTGAAGGACATAGATTTTTTTTCTCCTGGAAGCCCCAAGTCTTATCAAGCCCTTTATATGGATTACAAGGAGCTAAAGGAGCAGCGCACCCTTGAATGCATTCTTACTGCTTTTAGCTTAATCTTAACTCCAGAGAGATCAGAGACTCCCTATAGCTACAGAACACAAGGGAAAGCATTCTCTAAGGGTTGAGAAAATCCTCATCCCGTTCCTAGCTCATCTCTGCAGCTCCACGTCTGACCTGTCCAACAGACAGCACGTGGCATCTGGTCCCTCTGGCCTGGGGGTAGGAGTCACACAGCATGACCGGATTTGTAGCACAGGGTGGCTGCTGTTACTCTGTAGAGCGATTAAAGCCAGGAAAGTCTCCTGGAAAGGAAGTGGCCTGTGGACCTCAGAGCTTGCTTCTGTGGCAGGGCGTAGGCTCATCTGTACAGTGTAGTTACCAGAGCCACAGACATCATCAGCTACAACCGCATGGCTGAAGGAAAAGAGGGAAGAAAAGATGAGAACCAGGCACTCTCTGCAGCCTGTTAAGAACAAAACAACATTATAGTCTGTTTCTTCAGTGAAGCCAAACAGAAACATGAGTCCAACTGACAAATAAGTTGAAAGAAATGAAAAATATGTAGACCCTAGCACGATTGACTCTCCCATGGCTAGAAACACTTCCTGCATCTTTGCACTGTCAAATCATTTGAGCTGAGGGAAGTCGAGAAATGTTTTACTGAGTGGGAATATCTGTTTTCTTTGCTAGCACATTTCCTCGAGCACTATTAAATGCTCCCACTTGCAAAATGGCCTATAGAATTTGTCTGGGGGACAGTCACAGAATGGGAAGCTACTATGGAGGGGAAAAAAAAAAGTCTGAAGGGCAGTATTAGGATCTGAAATGCAGAAAGGCCCATCTTTTATACGTGAGGCGAGTCCAGAAAGAAATAAAAAGTTTTTAAAACCACAATATAGCTTTCCTATGTTACTGAGCCCCTAGAGCAATTTGAATATTGCTGCCCTCCCCCCCTCCCTTAAATCATGCAGCATAAAGATACAGCAGCAACTCCACTGAGATAATTACCCAGTCAGAAGGACATCATCTGACTGCAAAACACTCCGCTGGCGTGATTCACTCAGCGGTGGGCTGGGCTCAGAATCCAGCAGTGTCAGGACAGTTACCAAGCCTTCAGCTGCTTCTTCAGTCACTTCATTTCTTTTAAACATCTCCTCTGCTTCTGTGTTCAAGAACGGTTTCTCAAGATGTTTGTTGTTCCTAACAACTGCCAGGGAATTTCTCTCTGGTGTAAGTGCTACCAGAATCTGTGAAGAATATGAGGGGCTTTCTGAGGTTGGAAGGAACTGGGTTAAATCTGGGCTTAGAAGCATCTCAGCATCATTGGCAGCTACTGCATTTAAGACAGGTGACTGATATATAGCCTTATTTACAAGCCTATTAGCAGAGACAGAAATTGATTTTCTTGTAGATGGCCCAGTAGCCTGCATGACAGTTGCAGCACTTACATGACCACGGTCATGTTCAGTGTTATCTTCTGATGATATCTGCTCCAAAGGGTGACTTTGTAGACTTGCTGAAGCTTGATGTGATGAAAACACAGGTGCTTGAATGGGCAGCTGGCCAGCTGCTGCTGAATATTCCTCTTTCAATAACATGCCATCACTCTTCCCTATTGATGGTGAGACCACAGTTACTTTGTTTGCCCTGGAAACTGTAGGCAATGCCATGTATGGATCAGATCTGATAGCTGATGTTGGTGGGAGAAACGCTTTTTTGTTTGTAAGTGAAGCAGTCATATGATCATTCTTAGCTGCAAAGAGAAAAGTCATGGCTGAGGAAGATTGTGATGCACTTGGTGTTAATTTAGGCTCTCTCTCAAGAGCAACAGATCCTGCAGACACAGATGGTTGTACCAAAGTTAAAGCAATCTTACTGCCAAGAACTGCCGTGGGGGGTTGCTTTGTCCTTGCGTTAAACATGGCTGGCAGAGACGCGTTTGTTCGCAAGAGTGCACTAGCTCCTATTGTTCTTGCACTTGTACTGATTTCAGTTGGTTTTGTGTTTTCTCCCACATTGGCCAGTGAAAACAATTTAGTAGGTACTAGACTGGTTTGCTCATATTTCAGGGCTGATGGCAGGGGGGCAGTTGCAGACACAGATGAAGGAAGGCTTACAGGAGACTCAGCATATATCCTTGGGTGGGTAATTGTAGACAGCAGTTTCCCAGAGAGAGCTGTTTTCTTTTGGACCTTGGCTGAAAATGGATCATGCACTGGTGCTACTGTTGGTCTCTCTGTCATCATAAAGGACTTAGGCACAATGGGAGTAAGTATCAAGTGTTTAGTAAGATGAGGATTTGTAGAAGTGGGCGGTGTTTGTACCACTGTAGCATGCGCAGTGACTCCTCCTGAATGGGCAGTGCTTCCTACTGCTGAAACTTTGTGGGTGTTTCCAGGTGGAAGTGCTGAGAAAGCTGATAACGTGCTGGGCACAAACTGAACTTGTGCTGGCAGCCTTTGAAGTGACGCCATGCTTGAGACACTTTGTGAAGTGGACTGCAAAGGCACGATGTTTGCGGACATCTTTAATGGGTGTTTTAGAGTTCCAGCTGAGCGCAAGTTCAAACACTCTGTGCATTGTGTATGGACAGAGGAAGATGCGGTCACTACGCCTTGATGAAGGCTGGTTGTTTGCAGCAATAGTTTTATGCTGCGCTGAAGCTGATCCGCAGTCCTTCTCACGGTAAACGGAGGTTGGGTTGGTGTTTCAGAAGCAGGGAGTCCCCTTGCTGACAGTAAAGAAATTACAGAAGAGCTTGGCTTTTCAGCTGTGAAAAATCCTTTCGGGGAGATAGAGAGGCTGTGCTGTGTAGACAACGCTAATGGCGGCACAGCAGAGGTGAGAGGCTCGGCAGACACGCCGCTGAGTAAAAGCGGATCAGTCTCTTCGGCATCTTGGGAACAGGGAGCAGGTAACTGAATCTCTTCAGGCAGACTGTGCAGATTTTTGGCCTGCACTGTAGTGCTCATCCTTGTCCGTGGATGCAGTGACAAGTGATTCGATGCTAAGGTCAGTGCTTGAAATAAACTAGTAGTAGCTGGAGAATTAGTATTAGTCAGCACTGGCTGAGAAGTTCCTTTCATTTTCTCTGCTGATTGGTTTGAAGCAGTGGAGAAAGCAGTTTCAGGCCTCAAAGGCTTACTAGTGGGATAAGAGGAACTAGTTTTCATTGGAATATTGTGGCTGCTTTCAGGGGTAACCAAATTCCGATCTTGCTTATTAGTGAAAGATAAAGCAGTTTTGTGGTCACCCTCACCTTTAGGAGAGGGCAACATCTGGAATTCTGCTCTCTCAGGGGGTAAAAGGATAAATACAGGCTTAACCAGAATTAAGCTAGAAGGACTCAGATTTTGTAAGTCTGTAAGATCTAATGCTGAAGAATTGGAGGCTGCCAGGATTTGTTGGATTTGTTGAATGGAAAGCAGAGTCCCAACACTGACGCTTGGGAATCCTGTAGGCAAAGGGAAGTCTTGCATGGGCTGCAAGCACATTATGCCATTATTATTTCTAAGCAGAAAAGACAAATATTGGGATGATGGTAGGTCTGTAAGTTGATCGACTCTAAAGCCGCTGAGGTCTTTGGTAGCTACATCATCTGAGATACCAGACTGCTTAACTAGTGCTTGTGCCAGATGTGCCAGGATCTCATGAGAACCAGCAGGATGTGCTGTTGTTGAGCTAGGCTGCCCTCCTTGTGCTTGGAGCAAGGCCAGTTTCGGAGGAAAAGATTCCAGGCTGCCAGGTTGCTGGTTCTGGGAGGCTGAAGGGACAAAGCCATGAAGAGGAACTTTCTGGTTCCCGTTGTCATATAATCCAGGGAGGCTGGAGGTTATGCTGGCTTGTGGACTCAGTGCGGGAGAACCAGCCTTATCTATCTGATGTGGCAGACTTGTCTTTCTCTTGGAGTCTTCTACTGCGCTCATCTGTAGCATCATAGGGAAGGTTTCCTGAGATCCAGGATGGGCAGAAGTGGCTTGAACCCGAGATCCAGAACTAGTAGAAGCAGATGAAATCGGTATGTGAAATCCCTTCTCAGCAGAAGTGGAGATGCCCCTTAGCCGCAATCCAACATAAACAGGAGCAGATGTAGCTAGTGGCTGATGCCCTGCAGGAACAGAATCAAACGTGCTTAGAGGCTGAAGGCCTGCATTCACAAATGTAGATGTACCTGGAAAGAAGACAGGTGTTACTCCTTGCTCTCCAATAGTTTGGGAAAGTTTTAACTCTGACATCTGTGATTGGCTTAATTGGGATGAGTTAGCAGAAGTCTGTGGGCTCACAGAGGATCCAGATGCTTCACGTTTGCTTGTAATTGTCTGATGATCAGCATCACCTTGCCAAACTAGCGCTCCACTTTGAGAGTCCCCATTGGTTTCTTGAGAAATATGTTTAGTACAGTTCAGTGTCTGGGACAAAGAGAGGGACTGTGATCTATCAGTTGTGCTCCTGTGCCCTTGAAATGAAGATTGAATTAAGTCATCATGAACCTGTGTTTCCAGAGGCATCAATAATGAAGAGTGTACATTGCTTTGTGGGAGTGTCTGAAGAGCAGGCAGCTGGCTTGGGGGTCTAGAGCCCTTCGTTTCAGCTGCTTTTGAGTTTTTGTCTTTACTGTCTGTTGTTTCTTCTTTCAGAGAGAAAGTAGGGGAAAACTGGACAGCAGTCGTTTGTGTCATTCTGGAATAGACTGCATCAAGGCTCCCTGAGGCTGGCTTTTGAAGCAATGCAGAAGTAGTAACTCTAACATCCACAGTCTGAGTCTTCTTCAGGGAGGAAGGTGTCACGCCAGCTTTGCTATCAGGCTGTGCTTCTGGATTTGCGTCTTTTGGCCTTTTGCTAGGGGGAGGTGTTAACGTTGGTAACCAATCCACCCTAGCACTTTCAAGAGCTGTCTTAACTCTGGTGGGAAATGCAGATCCTGCTATTTCCTTTCTTGGAGGATGGAAGTTTACCGCTGAAGTCAGTAGAGATGTTTTAGACGCGTTCCCCCACTGTGAATGGACTGGGGCCACCCAGCACTAGAGCTGGCAGGTCTAATACTGGGCTCAGTAATATTTTCTCTTCCTGGTTTTCCTGGTAATGACTTGTCTGGCTGCTCCAGATGGGTGGCTGACTGTGATTCTTGCCTTGAGATAGGGATGTTTGTGCTACCCAAAAGCTTGCTAGGAGATGTGCCTCCATCCTGGAGTTTTAAAGCTGCTGCTTCTTTGTGCAATTGATAAGCCCCCATTAGGTATCTAACCAATCCTTTAGGCACTACAGTTGTTAATTTTGCAGCTGTCTCTGTGTGCACAGGAATGAAGTCAGCTGTCATTTCATTGGTAGAGTCAACTGTTGGAGTCTGAAAATCAAAGGTCACCTCATCTAAGTTATCTTCTGTAACGGAAAACACTTCACTGGTCACTGGGCTGCTCTCAGCTCTCAGTTGGTCTTCTCCAGGAAAATTCTGGTCTAGTAATTCACTGCCATGATGTTCATTTCTGGAGGTACCTAATGAACAGAAGACAAGCCAAGCCCTTTGTCTCCTTACTTGTACGTGAACTTTTAATAGTTTGCAGCAGTGCTTTTCAACTGGCTGAGGGAGAAGTGGAAAGTTAAGTAGCCACCAGTTCCCCTCAGAAGCATACAAGAGGGAGGACCAGCACCTCTGGCACTGCCATTCTTATGGCCAGCTGCTATAAATCTGATCTCTAGCTGTTTACATTCAATATCACGTAAAAATGACAATTCATACCTGTGCCCTACTGATGCAAAGCATTAACCAGTCAGAATAGAACCCTTTACTTTAATTGCTGAAAGACAAAAATGACAGCTTAAGATGCAGGGAGAACGAAGCCCTAAGGCTGCTCAGGGCCAGGCTGGTGGATCTTTAATAGCAAAGCAAGCTTAAAATATACATGAAAGAGCTCACTCACCTGGCCGTCCTTAATCACTCCTCCTCTCCCAATATCCTAGTCCTATGCTGAGTTTCCTGATTCATGCTAGCTGACCAGACGACCTGTAATTGTCCTGTTTCCATTGAGTCTTGGAAATCAGAGGCAGATAAAACATTAAAAACAAGGTTCCCTTTTAAAGAACTGAACCCTAAAACAGGTACACTAGGCTTAAAATTGCACAATAGCCTTCTCCTAAAGGCACATCATCATCATCACCACCACAGCCTTTGGCTTGAGGAAGCTGTGGATCAGGCTACCTAAGGTTCAGTATTATTAAAGGATGAAGCTGTTCTGTTTTGCCCGAGTGACACAAAGCAGAACACAGTAACCTCTCTGCTTCTAAATTCTCAAATCAGAAGCAGACATTTTGTCATTTTAGAGGTAGACTCATGACTTAAAGGGCTATTGTTTCATGAGCAGATTTTATTTTTCTCATTCACATTTACAGGGTCAACATTCCCAAGCATGCTTGCCAAACCATGGCCTAAAATATTTATGTGCTTTTCTCCCCCCCGCAAAAGTTTAAGCATTTCCCCTCAGGTACCTGACAGCAAAGACAGGTACAGAAAAGCTAAGAGGTGATTTGGGTATGCAATTATATTGTGCTTTTGACAAAGGCAAAGCAGAGGTCAGCTGGTTGCACTTCAGATGGAACCGCAGGGGTTCTTGCCCGAGCGTTGTGCCTTTACAGCTTCTCTGTGGTCATTTGAGGAACTGGCACTACTTCGGTCAGTTATGAGCAGGCTAAGCTAATATAAAGGGAAGCCACAAAATTAATTTATTGCTAAGAAAGAAATGGAGCTTAACGGAAACTGTTATGTTACATGTACAAAACAGTTTGAATTGTGACTTTGTACAGGAAAAATCAAACTCCCATGGTTTGGCTCCAACTCAAAGAAACGCAGAGTGCTCTGTCTAAAGGTATAGACATACTCAAATACTTTACTGAAGCAAGGTCTCAGAGAAAGCATTATCAATATACACAAACACACCTTTTCATGTTTTCCCAAAAAACAGAATTACAAGAGAGAGAAAATATTCTTTGAGTGCACCCAAGCTCATCTTTACTCAAGAGGTAAGTCCTGCTAAAAATACGTAAGACTGCTTTCATGAGCCAAGTGAAATTTATGAACACTTGCAGGGTATGCTCATAATCAGACAATATGAGGTGGAAAACCAAGACTGACTGGTCTCCTGCTATAAGTGACAGCAGCCCCAAGAACTCATTTGAAGCATGACAGCATTACAGACTCATCATTGATTTCAAGCTGTCAGGAATACTGGCAAGATAGCTGTTTCGAGAGAAAATGCAGAACAACGTGCTACCACCCAGTGAAGAGGGGAGATCTTGCTTAACGCAATAAATAGGAACAGAGGTGCCTGGAAAACTGGATTCTAAGCCAAGGTTCCAGCAGCTCTGAGTTGGATCCTCCATTCCGCTATTAACCTACTCTGTGATAAGTCACCCCATTTTTTTTTCCTGCTCCCCTCCCCCCACCCCCAAGCTGGGGCCAACCACACACTCTTTAGGAAGTGGACCGTCTCTTAGTTGGTTATGTAGCATAAGTGAACCCTCTTTTAGGGCCACTAACACTCCCATAACAAATCATTTAAATCAGTATCTTGAGCCTTCCAGGACAGCTGTATGAACAGAGAAAAGTTGCCCCTTCACCTCATTGTTGTTACACACCTGAGACTGATGGCAAAATATCTACTCTAGTTTTCTCAGCCACAAATACTGTAGGAGAAGAAGGTGGAAAGACAGCACTTGAGATTAGAACTAATTGCATCACTCACCAGACAAATCCAGTAGTTCAGCCACCATCAAAATAAAGATGGGGAATTTTTCCTGCATCTTATGAAGCAGCTCCTGAGTCAGCCCAATAGCAGCGTATTCAGACACGTAGCTTATTCAGACACGTAGCTTGCTAAGGAGTCACTGCTGCCTTTTAGCAATGGGCATTTGCAGTGTTTGTTCTGGATAGGGAGGGTATTATGTTACTTTGCGACAGCTTAGGCCAGACAACAACCAATAATCTGTTTCCAAAAAAAAAAAAAAAAAAGGCCTGCACCAATTGGAATCAATTGATTTTTAACAAAACAAAGCACAAAGCTACTTAAATACTTTCAAGGTGGCTGTTTCCAGACGTTCCACCTCTCCAAGTTTCACTCTGTTTATTCTTCTGCCTGATAGCCTAAACACTGCCTTCCCTATCTTGTCTTCCTACAGCTGACAGTTAGGCCAAGTCTATTTTACTGTGTCATCTAGACTAAAACAGATGATACTGTGCAACCTAGGTACTGTAATTAAAGTTTATGATTTACAGTTCAATCCATATCACACTGACAGATGAGAAGCAGCATGATAAATCATCAGTAGGTAGTGGAATTGGAACTGTTAAAACTCAACTTTACAGTTATAACTAAAGGAGTAACTCCTATGGAAACAGTAGGGTTTTTTGTATTTTCAGACCACTTATGCCCTGAAAAGGCACTATAATACAGATTATCCTATATATGTTACATAGGGATCATGTGCATCTGCTTATTTGTGCAGAACCTATTTGTTAAACTTGACAGCCTTCACGTGGCAGTACTATAGCTGCTCTTCTGCCAGCAAGACCACCATACAGGCCTCACTAGCTACGCTTTCCAGGAGATCTTAAACACAAACTAGAGCTCTGTTTTTATCATTCACAGACAATTAATGTGTATTTCTTGTGCTTCATCTTGACTCTAACGCTCTTTGTTTTATGTCTGACAGTGAATTTCAGCGATAAAGCCGCTACGCTTTAGTACAGAACGCAGCTTCTTCAGGCCAACCTCTTACGAGGTTTAAACTGCCTTTTTGGAACAATACATAAGAGATTAGAGCAATGCGTTACTGGCCTTCAAGTTACACTTGCTGTTACTATTAATTCCTTATCAACCTCTCTAAGGAAACACAGACACTAGAAAGATGTGCCAGTGCCATTTGTGTTATTGTTTAACTAACAAATGACTAAACAGAATATTAAGGACGAATATCAGGGGCCATGACAAAGTACCTAGATCAAGAAGGTCAACCACTGTTCTTACACCACACAAAAGAAAAGAACAAAGGAATCAATCTGATTAAGTTTACTATGACAGTAAATACAACACTGCTGGGAGAGACAGCCCATAATTCATCTGTAAACCTCACTGACATAAGATATCATCGAGATTGAGCACTTAGTGAAATGAGAGACCAAAACACTTAAGCAGGTATGTATGAGCACCCACAGGTCTAAGCAGAAAATAAGGTGTTATCAAGCATGCTATCCTGAAGCATAGTCTAACCACCAGTGGACAGCTCATGGGGAAAGGATTCTTCAAAACAGCGTTCACTCCACAACTGTAGAGCAGCAGAACATTTAGATTTTCTTCTGAAACATTGGGTACTGGACACAAACTGCAAAGTAGACTAGACAAACTGTTGGTCTAATGTTGCTTGGTTTTTAAAACGATTCAACAGCAAGGAACTTGCCAGTAAGAAATGTCATCATCATTTATTACAGCACAGACAGGTCTAATGCAAGCTTGTGTCTTTAACTGTTACACTAGATAATAAATGAACTTTTCTTCTTACATTTCATTGATATTGTTTCACTTGCTTCTATGGAAGAACAGCAGAAAATTTAAAAAGGGACTGAAACGTTTGCTCAAGTCCTATGAACTAAAGGATAAAGAAGCAATACTCAACAGCAAGCGATATTAACAACATGTACTGAAGCTTTCTTGAGGACTTCAACCACTATGCACATATTTCATAGAGGAGTTCAGAATGGCCATTCCATTGAGCTCCCGCAGTTGAACAATATGCCTGAAAAGACCAAAACAGATAGGAAGGATAAGACGCTGAGATGACACAAACAAGACTGACCAAACAAGAATGTTACGCTTCCATTGCTCTGCTGCATCCCAAGCCCAAACTGTCAGGGATGTTTAATGCTACACTCAAACTCCTCCTATTTTAGTTTCCCCACAAAACAGAAAATGGAAGTTCTAAATACTTGATAAAAGCGTTCCAAGAGGTGATATTTCAAATTAACAAAACCAGCAAAATAAGGTTGCTCCTTTTCATTCCTCAGGAGTGTTTTGCAAATCTCAGAGCGGATACTTTCTCTACTGCTTATTCGGGAAGTCCATCTACCAGCAGAAGCAAGGTTCTCAAACTTCTAAAGCTAAACATTACCCCTAGATTTCTGTGCAGTGGTTCAGGAGGTATATTAATATGCTGGAACTCAGTTCCTCTCTGGAATGCAATTCAATATGCAATTGACAGTTTGCCTCTAGCTAGGACTTGACATACTCTTGGCAGGCAGCAGCACAGACATTCTTTGCTGACATTTATACTTTTGTTTTGCTCTCATTTCTCTGACCCCTACAAACTTATAACATCACTCCTCCTCCTTCCATTCTTCCAGCAAAAGCAACATCAGAAAACAATGCAAAATGACCTTCTGAAAACCATTTAAGGAAGCCAAATAATAACACAGGAACCCTAAAGCGTGACGCTGGGGACAGCACCACAAGTGGGAATTCCAGTTGGAAGAAGGGTGATAGATTTCATAGGATATTTATTTGACCTACTTATTTCCCCAGTACCTGCTTGCTTGCTCAGTACACTAGTTAGGTATTACTGGATCCCCCAATTTTTCCCCACTGGCCTGTAGTTGCTAAATAGGTTCCATGTCCGCTCTTCAAGAATTCTCACCTAGTAACTGGATGGCACATGAGAACAAATAGTCTGTTTTACAATACCTTGGTTCAGCAACACAAAGCTTCCCCAGAGCAATCGCTGCATTCTCCTGTACTGAAGTTTTTGTAGCATCGCCACCAGCATGTTTCAACAAAATCATCACAACATTGGAATTCAGTAAGGACGCCGCTGCTCCAGGAACTGCGAGGCACTGTCCAAGGCAGAAAGCAGCATTTCCCACAATCATTTCATTCTCCGAGTTTAAGAGCTTCAGCAGCACACCAAACTCTGGGAGAAAGAGAGTTACTGCACAAGATACCCCCCAGTATGCTCACGTAGCATTCACATTTTCTCCTGCCTTTATCTCAACTCTGGTAATAGTTTCAGTACCCTGGATTCCACGGACATGTGGCTGGGCAGTTTGGCAATTGCTTGCCCATGGCTGTTAAGCAAACAATATAATAATTGAAATAGCATCAAGAGAAGTGCAGCTGGCTGTAACAGTGACACCTATTCCTACGGAAGTAACAAGAGCGCAAGGAACTGAAAAGAAAACTCAAATTAAGAGGATTTAAGTACACATGGGGCAAGTAATATAAGAAACACATCGCCAAAGGCTTGCTCTTGGGACAGATCAGATTACAAAGCTAAGCATAAACACTTGCTCTCTGGAAAAATAAAATAAACTTGTCAAACCTATAAAATGCAGGACAATGGCACTAGACCCCCAGGCCATTTTATTTGCACAGCTAAAGCCTCAGGCCCAAGAAGTGCCTTGTGCCTAAAAATGTATTTTTCTAGCAAGCCTGGAGGAGCGGGGCGATTTCCTAGCAAGGTTCTGGATCCAAGATGCTGCCTTAGGTTCTCCTGCCTAGATGCCATTCTCACAAAACTGAGAGAGGTTCTTGACTCTAACGGGTTCTTTAGCATGGAGTTTCTGTTTCTCCATTTGTTAAATGTTCCTCTGAAACTGGAGATGCCACCTTTGCTGCTTGCAGACTAAGGGACCCTGCACAGAACTTAAAAAAAAAGAAAGAAAGAAAAAAACCCCACAAAGCTTTACATATCTTTACCTAACATGAATCAGCTCAGTTCCATCTACTTCAGTAACCTATACTAACACAGAGGAGCAGAGTATTTAGTCTATACTCTTGATACAGAATTGTATGGCTATTACTGGCATCTGTAAACAGCAGTAACATCTCCTCAGGCCACAGAATTTAGGAACATTTAGAGAGGCTGCTTTCAAAATAAAATACAGCCATAGCCTTCTCATGCAGGAAGTTTCCCTGGGGTTACAGAAGTCTGCTTTGATTTCATTTTGTGGTCCCATCTGTTCTACCGAATCACATCACGTTTTCCTTTTTTTTCAGTTGCAAGAGAAAGTCTTCGGAAAAGGCAGGGTTGCTCTAGACTGCCAAAGCGGTACCAGCAGTTGTTGGTGCAGAAGCTGAACTAACTGGCCCAGCTGGAACGCTATGTAATGTCATAGTACTACAGCTTGACTCCAAAGGGCTCACAGCAGCAGGACACTGTCTGCGTTGGCAAACTGAGATGACAACAATAGCGTCTTTTCACAAGATGAACACCCAGAGTGAGTTTTGGTGGAAAGAATCAGAGTGAAGTGTCATTGCTCATCCAAGGAAATGAAAGCTTCATCTACAGATGACAGTGACACTGACATGGAGTATACAAAAGGAAGATGATGCTCTGAGAGGCTTTTAATGAGCTAAAATCCTTAGGGTTCAAGTTGAACTACACAAGCTGACAGTTTCTTGACAGATTCCGCTATCCAGATAAAACTTAAGCATTCTTAGTCGTAATCACGTTAGCACTAATTGAACCTAGATTTTAAAGCAATCTAAGTAGTGTTACTCTACACAACTAGAACAAATATTAGTAACTCAAAATACTCAAAGACGCCTGTTTGATATTATTACTCTTCCTCCAACCCATTTCCTTTTAATGTCGGGACAAATTTCTATATATAAAGTTAAAGGAAATTATTAACAAACTCAGCCTCTGGAAATCAAATGTCTAAATACAGTATCTTATTTTAGCCACTAACTTGTGGAAATAGGTCCCTACTCCTACAGTTAAGAGGTAATATTTTCAATATATACAGATTCATGGCCCTGAAAAAATGCAGCAAGCCATTTCACTAAAGTAAAGCACAACTTCTATAGCTCAGGCTCATAATCTGATGCGCAGATATCCATCTATGCACAGAGCCAAGGCTCATTAAGCACTATTTCAGGAGGTAAAATGGCACAGTGCTCAAAAAACATGGCTAGAGTTCTTGCAGGAGTGAATCAATGTTCAGTTGTTTGAGAAGGGAAGAAAGTATGATGCTTCGATTACATCTCTGCGTTCGCTCTCCAATTAGCGAAGTTGTCACTTACTTTTATCTGACTTCACCACCTCTTCTTGAGCTTGGCTGTTACTTTTGGTGCAGATGGAAAGGGTCTTTATAGCATAATTGGATGTGACCTGTCCTCCAGCCTAGATTTTTATTGGAATAAAGGAAACGCATTAAGAAAAACATACAGTTTATACCCCAACTTACTCAAGGACAGAGAATAGCTTAGGTACCATGGAGATATTTAGGTACTTCTTATGCCTAAGCACAAATACCAAATGAAGACCTTTTTAAAGTATACGTCTTGGCTCCCCCCTTCATCTCTGTAAATACATTAGCTCATGACTGTATTCAGACACAGACCTTCAGTGACTCAGACCTCATGCTATAATAACCTGACCTTTAATGGGACACCCACAAGAATAAATGTGCTTTGCAAATTGACATCAGAGGAGCATTGTCAAAAATTAATAACCAATAAGGAAATAAGACTATTAAAGAGGTAGATTTACTACACAGTAAAGGGCAGAGTAAAGAAACTTTGGAGTGAGTAAGTGAGAGAGAGTGTGTGTGTATTGTTTATGAAACTGACTCTGCACTGTACAACACTGAAGAACGTTAAAATCATTTCAAAGGAGAAATTCAAGCTGTCACCAGGTCATTCAGCCCACTGGAGTTTAACACTGATATTTGAAATTAAGAACTTTGGCCATATAACTGGAGTGCATAAAATACCATCTTAGAACACAGGCTGGAAGTGAGGCAAGAGCCATTTCTTTCCCCCCAACAGTATACATAAAATAATTCCCTGAAGCTCCGGAGCCCGATTCCTTTCAAAGTAACTACTAACTTCTCTGATGCTTGCAAGTTACAAGAGCTGGGCTGGGTGCCACAGCCTTTTTCTATGCTAATTTTATCCGCATCATAGTGATTCTATAGCATCCAAATAGAGCTGAGTGGATATGCATTAGGCTGGACACACAGATGTAAAGCAAAACAGTTTCTGTAGATTGAAGAACATATAAGTTTAGACTGAAGTTGTACCTTGGCCTGATTCAGCACTCCCTGATAAATCAGTGAAGAGGGCTCCATTGTTTTCAATGGTCTGAATTAGATCACCCCAGTCTTAGGCTTTAATCCTCAAGATGCATCTGCAATAATGGATTCCTGAATTTACAGGTCTCCTCAGTAGAGCTGTGTGCATGGGCACAGGTATCTGGCTCATATAGAAACTACTAAAGCAATTGGCTACAGACTACAAGGGACCTTAACTCCTTAAAATTACATTTGAGAGCACAGTCCCCCTGAGACAATAGGCAACACAAATGCAGATGTGCACCAGAGTTAGCAGATTCTTTCTTCTTGGGAAAGCAGGCTAAACATAGGGGCAACTTGGTAGGCTTTCTTGAGGGACTATAAGAATAGAATAAAGTGAAATTTGTTAATTTACTTTCAAGAATTTGATCATTTTCTTCACCACTCCTCCTTTCACTACTTCTTCTATTGCCGAGGAGGATGCTGGCAGGATGCGACTTAGCACTCCGATGGCTCTCTTCAGGAGAAAAGTATGGGAGAAAAGAAAAATTATGTTCAGTTGTCCAGACAACCATGTTAGGAGTTTTCAATTTATTTTCTTTTTGCAGCTGGCAGAGTAAAATCAAAGTAGATAAACTGATAAAAAGAAAAATTTACAGAAATACAACGAACATAACATCTTTAGGACATGGCTTTGTCTTCTTATTGGAGACTGAACTCCACACTGAGCCTTTAGAAGCTGTGCAGAGAGAGGGGACACTAAACATGCACAGTAGAAACTAGCGCAGCACTGCTGGTACTGAGTCAAATTAGATGCAAGTAAAACAGATCAGAACTGTTCGTGTAAGTTCAGCTAGAAGCAATTAGCACTCCCATTTGGGACATCTACTCCTACCAATTTGCCACGGAGAACTGCTATCTGTGGGAGTTACACACACACACACACACACACACAATAACGTGAGTATAATCTCCTAGGAATGATTCACATACAAGAATTGTAAAAAGAAACAGCTGTTAAACACCCAATTTGCTCTTGTTTCTTTGCTTCTAGATTGATTTAACACTTCAAAAGAGTTTTATAACAAAAACCATCCTAAAGGCTTTGTATGAATTTATAGAAATAGATTTCAAGAGAACATGGAGAACCCTATCATATCAAACAAAAGCATCAAGAATTGAGCAATACAAGTAGTATATTACTTGTTTATTGACAATAATTGCACATATTTTTCTTAGGCTTCAAAGTCTAATGTGCAGACTTCCAAAAGACTTGCATAGGGCAGTAGTTTGCCCTGAATAATTTGGGTTCAGTTCAGCTAACACATTCTCTTCCTAGTCCACTGATATCCACTTACTGTCACAATCCTTCCATCCTTACTGCTGAGGAGAGACATGCATCTCCTGCTTATGTCCACAGCAAAGCACTGAAAAAACAATGTGAAAAATTCAGGTCCACCTGACTGCTTCAGATCCACCTGACTGAGTGAAATGTTAGGGCAGAAATGGGCTAAAAAGGAAAGTTAATCTACAAGAAAGAACCCAATAGAGACTTTAAGACATGCATGGCAGTAAGTTACTAACTCTTCAGCGCCCAACCGTAATTTAAAAAAATTTACTTCCTTGACGGAATTTTTAGTTTTACATAATTTTGGAATATGCTGAGCATCTGCAAATATCCAGTAACTGGAGACTGATGCAAAACAAAACATTTTTACTGCTATGGACAGGTACTATATGTACTTTACACTATTTTTGTAATAAATGTGTGTACGTGGCTGGTGGAGGTAAGGAAAATTCCTTAAATTGTCTCACTTCTTAGACTTCTCAAATTGTCAACTACCCTTAACGATCACCTTAAACACCAATAAAAATGAAAATAAAAAAAAAAAAAATCAACTACCAGCAAAACCCATTGTTGGTGGCCTTGAAGTTCTTCACCACGTTTAAGATGAAAGAAGGCTCTAGATCTATATAGCACAGCCAAGCCCTCCCCTGTGCAGACTCCAAGTTTCACGATACTCCATGGTCATCCCCTCTCCACCAGCCTCCACTCTATTTGAATGTTCTGGTATGACTTCAGTGGCTTTGCATCAGGCGCATTTACAGTAACCAGGGTGGAAGATGCTGTAACTGCTCAAGCAATTCTAAATCTCCAGGGAAGCGATTAAAGCAAGAAGGTTAAAGGAACATTCACACATCTTGTTTACCTGGATGGCTGCATTTGATTCAAGCAGTAAGTTCATCATTAGGCCCAGCACTGCAAACAAGCACTCCTGGTATTCAGGTGTGCTGCCACCAGGAAGACACTCATCCTATACATAGGAGAGAGAAGAGTGCATTCAATTCAAAGGTTCAGACTGTGCATCTCCTCATTCTACTGTGAGCTTACCTACTGATAATTGTTCCTCTGATGCACCATGAACTCCAGGGAAAATAAAGACCTGTGAGCACCAGAGCTAGTGAAGCCTCTTTCATACAAATTTGTTCTTATGGTTGACTTCGGTGTCTAAAGCTGCACTCTCCGAACTGAGACTTCTGATATTTAAATAATTCAGAAAACCTTTTCCCACGCTGTGAATTCTTTATTGGCTAAGGACCAAGTTCATACTGCATCGGTACCCTGAAAGGGACCACTGATGCGACCTCGCTCCTCCACCTACCTATCAACTCAACTCGTGAGCAATGGGCAGCTCTGAGACCTTCATCGAGAGGTCAGATTTGAGCAGTATCAGTTAACGCTTCAGAGCTATTAGGGGAGGCAGACAAACAGGATCACACAACTGTCATTTCCACAAGAAATGAGTCTGAAAACACTGTTTTGGGGTACAATCAAGTCTCTTTACCACAAGCTTTAAGCAGGCCTGCCAGCACTCTTGGCAATCAGCCATCTGCTTTCGGATGACTACGTCTGCACACAGATTCCCCAGGATGCCAATGCAATGGGAGAGGGCTGTCTGCTTCACCAGCTGGACAGAGGTCTAAAAACAGAAGAGCAAAATAAGTTTTAAGAGCAAACAAGGAAACAACAAATGGGTGTTCCTATCCCTCTGGCAATGGAAACAAGAATTCTAGCACTATTCTTATTTGCACTAAATTCCAAATGTCCAAAGCTTGCAAGTTACCTTCATTTTCACAACTAAATCCTCTGAGACCATTTTGAAAAAAATCACATGGCTGAGGAAAGAGTTTCTGTGGTTCCTGACCTCGGATTGCAAATATTGCCTACTATCATGTACTGGGATCACAGAACATAACAGCTTCTGCTGTAGTCATAATTCCAGTAAGGTGTGCTTACA